CACTTTTTTGACTGTTTGATAGGCGAAATTTTCCACGAAAAATATTTTCCGAATTTTCCTCACACGTGTGTGTTTTCCCAGTTTTTGATGAAAATGTTTTCCCGGCTGACTAGAAAATTTTTTTTTGACAATGGAAACAAATGTCATAACCAATGGTAAAAAAAATTTTACTATAATGGACAATTTTAATATAAAACAAAGTTAAACAATCATTAAACTTTGATGAAAAAATAATTTTTTAGGAAACATTTTTTTTCTTTTTTTTCTTTTATTTTTTGGCAATAGAAACAAATTTTATAACCAATTGTGGAAAAAAAAAATTACTTTAATGGACAATTTTCATGTAAAATAAAGCCAAACGAATAAAAAATTTAAAAATTTTTCGGATGAAAAATTATACCAATCAAACACACTTGAAGTCATTTTCCCTATAAAACATTTTCTAGACAAATCTTTTTTCTGTAAAATATTTTTTTCCACCCATTTTTCACCATTGCAATCAAACGCACTGAGAAATAAAAACAGAGATAAAGACAGAAATAAAGAAAATGAAAATGAAAGGTTTAATTTTAATGGCGTAAGGAGTGAAGAATAATTTTCTAAAATCAAGATTGCTTTCATATTTTCTTTAATAAATAGATTGCACTATTTCTTATCGCCCTATCGTCTCCACTCATTTTGTCTATCTTCCAAGATTCGGGCAAAAGTAATTGTCATGGAAAGCGACGTCTCTGTGTTGGTCTAAGCTTAATTAAGTGAAAAAGTTACAGGCAAAGCTATCTAATCTTCTTTCTTCACGGTGGATGCAATCACAAAAACAGATAAACTTTTAATAATGAAGTTAAAAAATAAGTACTTTTTACTTAAAAAGTATATCATGAAGAAAAGTTACTTATGCCCGGCCAAAGATGCTGTTTATAATATTTACAAAATGTTCCTTTATTTGTTTTTCTTCTTTCTTCAGTAATTTCCCTCTGTTTCCAACAGATGTTGAAAAAGTGAAGGTGGGTCTGAACTGTAATGAAGTCTGACGGAGAAAGAAAAAAAATAAATTAGGTAGTAGCTGTAGTTACTCTTTTCAACGTCTTCAGCTTTCATTTGATTTTTAATTATTATTATTACTGTTTACTGAACAAGTTTAGCAATTTATTGGTTGAAAGAGAGAGTTACAATAGAGAAAAAGATGGGCTCAACTCAAGATTTCAAGAAGGGTTGACATGGATTGCCTCAGATCCAGGTTACTCGATTTTTATTTCCAAAAAGGATTCTATCTTTTTCAATTTTCCCTGTGATTCATGTAACTTTTCTTTGCCTTTACTAGGTTCTTTCACATGAACCCTTCTGTTCTTTAACGATCAAGTGCTGAGATCGATTTCTTGTTTTGCTTTTTGTGTGTTGTTTGAGTAAATTGAGTGGATTTGAAAATCTCTGGATTTTTTTTTTCTTTTTTCATGGTAATTGATGGAGGTAGATACAGAAGTATCCATAGAATAAGAAACTAAGATAAGGTTCAAACAAATCAGTTTCCCCTTTCTATATATGGAGAATTTTTTGTGGAAGTGGTAGTTGGTGTTTTATTTTCAGTCACCAGCTCTGACTACCCATTTCTATTTAACGCATCCATAGCCGAACGAGACCACCTCACCCCGAACCCCCTCTCCCCAATCAACCCTGAAAGTGAAGAAACTGGTTTGTGGATTGATAGGAAAGCTAATGAATTAGTTTAACAATGGCAGGTTGTATAATTTTTGAGGTGCAGGAGAGCAACTTCTATTGTTTAGATAGTGGTTTTCATGGGGGAGATGCATCCAACGGTTGCTGTGCCATTTATCCTAGGTAAATTGATCTGTGACACCGCTAGTGTAGAAAGTTGTATGGATGCTACAGAGTTGCCGATGATGGCTGACACAGCAAGCGTGTACATGGATTCAGAGACTCAAAGTTTGGCTAACTCCGTAGATGGTGAAAATGATGTTTGTAGTTTTGGTGATTCAGGAAGTGAAGTTAGTAATTTTACGGTTTTCTCGGGGCCTGAAGATAATCGAAGTGAAGGGGCTTCCAGGTTGGTTATCATGTCTGAAGATGAAAACAACTGGCTTGCAACTGATGTTGTAGTCGGGAAAAGGGAAGAGGATGGTTCCTCATCATTGGAGGGCGATCAAGTTCTTGATAGCTCGTGTTCTTTATCTGTAGTGAGTGATACTAGTAGCATATGTGGTGATGAACTATTGGGTTTCGAGATCAATTCTGAAACAGGAATACCAAATTTCGTAGGTATTGATCCTATTGCAAAAACCAGAGATTTGGGAGAGCCAATTGTTAGTGGGGTTGTGGTTGATTCTCTATCTCTGGCGGTAGATGAAGGGAAAAATATTGTAGATGGTGTAAACTCAAAGTCTTCTACAGTTGTTGTTCAGTTGGAGAAAGGGTTAAGTGGAAGAGTGAGCCACAGCTTTTTTGAGGTCGATTATGTACCTCTCTGGGGAGTCACGTCTATTTGTGGTCGAAGACCAGAAATGGAAGATGCAGTTGCGACTGTGCCCAGGTTCCTGAAAGTTCCTCTGCAAATGCTAATTGGTGATCATGTACATGATGGAATGACTCAGCCGTTAAGTCATTTAACGACCCACTTTTTTGGAGTCTATGATGGTCATGGAGGCTCTCAGGTACCTCTCTTCCCAGCACACACCCCTGTTGCAATACTTCCAACATGTTTGGCAATCTAAAAAAATTAACTAAGTCACTGTAAAAACAAAGATGGATTTTGCACTGGAATTTTTTTTTAAGAAAATGTAACTTATACCAACATATTTGGCAAAAAAGAGTTACTTAAAAGTAGCATTTTTAGCTTATCCAAAGCTGTTTGATGTAAAACGGTTGTATGAAATATATTGCTTAAAATTTTATGTTCAGGTTGCAAATTATTGTCGGGATCGCATTCATTCTGCTTTGGCTGAGGAGTTGGAAGTTATTATGGCCAATCTGAATGATGGAAATAGTAAGGATAATTGTGAAGAACGATGGAGAAGAGCATTAACTAAATGTTTTCTCAAGGTTGATGATGAGATTGGAGGGAAAGCTAGTCTTGAACCCGTTGCTCCAGAAACTGTTGGATCGACTGCTGTTGTTGCCATAGTTTGTTCGTCGCACATCGTAGTTGCTAATTGTGGTGATTCAAGGGCTGTCCTATGCCGTGGTAAAGAACCCATGGCGCTATCTGTGGATCATAAAGTAAGAATGTAATTTCAATCTCTATAACATCATGGAATGTTTAGTAATTGGTAGTACCATAGGTAAAAAACCTATGGCTCTATCTGTGGATCATAAACTAAGAATGTGATTTTAATCTGTATTGTGTCATGGCATGTTTGGTAATTGGTAGTTTGGATTCAGCAGCACACGACAATTACTAAATTTTGAATTGTCTCTGTTCTTTAATATTTTTTTATTCTATTCAGTCCAACTTACTAAACATGCCATAATAAGGTGTTTGTTATACTGGATTAGACACTCGTCAGCAATATTAAAGAAGGGTTAAACGAAAAATTGTTCAATGTGCCTAGTGTGTTGCACTGTCTTTATCCAGCTCTAGCTAATTTCGTTCTCTTCCATCGATTAGCCAAATCGGGAAGATGAATATGCCAGAATTGATGCAGCTGGCGGCAAAGTAATTCAGTGGAATGGACATCGTGTTTTCGGGGTCCTTGCAATGTCGAGGTCTATTGGTATGTGCTTCCAAGCCTTCATTTTCTCTCTCTTTCATATTTTGCCCCTCTTGTTTCATACCACCTTAAAAGTTCGTCTTTCCCATTGTTATTATTCTTTAGCGGATTTCATAAATATATGTATCATCTCTGTTTTCAAATAAAATATCCTCTGGTATTTAAATCGTCATGTGCATTACCAGGATAGACACTGCCATAGCACCCTATTACCTATGAAGTGGGTTCTCATAAACTTGATGTGCTAATTTGTATGGGTCTGGGGCGATAAATGTAATAATTTGTTCAACTGACATGACTGTTTGTTCCGGATGTCTATATCTGTTTCGGGAACTCTAGTTCTTTGTTGGTATGGTTATAAAGTGAAACAAATCACCTCTAGGGGTTGGGTTTGTTATGCTACGTAACGGCATAGATGAGCCAAAAGTATACGAGGACCAGGTAACTAAGATGCTAAGCACTTATTTAGATTGTTTATCGTTAACCTCAAAATTGCAGTGACTTTGAGAAACCCAAGCTTTCTTGTACTTTTCTTTTTGCATTTGAAAGGAAAGGTCTGTATTGTTGTACGTTGTCCTTGATTTGTTGGACTGGTAATATTGGTGGCTGCTTGATTTTATTTACCATCCATTTGCTTTTAATTTGTGAGATCGGTCGTACTTCTTGTTCATAGAGACTGTTGTGAAAATCCTCCTCCTTCCTTTTTATGCCATATATTAAGAAGCCTAGTATTGAGCACTCCTTCACTATCTTTAATGTAAATAGTGACTTCTAATTGGAGCCTTGCTAGAATCAAGTAGTAGACATCTCGTGTTCCATATTGAACAGCACTTGGAAAAATTCTGCCATTGAGAGATGTTCTGGTTTCTTTTGTCAAAGACAGGAAAGACCCTAAATACCTTGTTAGAATTATGGAGTCCTGTCCTTTTTTCTTTTTTCTTTCCTTTTTTTGTGTGGTGGAAAAGCTAAGGCTAGGGCTTTTTAGCTTTTCTTGCCTTAACCTGATTGGAGAATTATGGAGTCAGGGTGCATGCCACAGTAATGTGTACGTGATCTTGAGATAATTTTTTTTTTTACCTAGAATTGCCTAAATTGAAGTAACATTTTGGAGAAGGCCTTCCATGTTAAGAACATTTTTCATGTTAGGCGAGAAGCTTGTGAACCTCTTTGTGAAGATGATATATCAAGGAATCTGTCCAACAAGATTAAAGGCCAGAATTGCAAAAAGTTCAGATCTGAATTGAAAGGGATTGACAATAGAGAAAAAATGGGGTTGATATTGATTGGGGTTGGTGTCGGTTTGGCTAGTTTAAAGAAGGCAGCCTTTTACATAAGAATACTTGGGACTTGATTTTTTTTTCTTTCCTTTTTTAATATATAACAGAAACAAGGCCTTTTGCCCAAACAAAAAATGAACTCGCAAGCACGGCTATTTTTTACAAATTATGATGCTTGTTTTGATGGTAAATTGAATTTTCTTATGCCTTATCATTCTTGAATGTTGCAGGGGACAGATATTTGAAACCTTGGATTATTCCGGATCCTGAAGTAATGTTCATCCCTCGAACTAGAGAAGATGAATGTCTTATTCTGGCTAGTGATGGCTTATGGGATGTCATGACAAACGAGGAGGTTTGTGATATGGCTCGCAAAAGGATTCTAGTCTGGCATAAAAATAATGGCGCAACGCTTCCCTTAGAAAGGGGTGAAGGAATTGATCCTGCAGCTCAAGCTGCTGCTGAGTACCTGTCAAACCGTGCTCTTCAAAAAGGCAGCAAGGATAACATTAGCATAGTTGTGGTCGATTTGAAAGCTCAAAGAAAGATTAAGCGGAGGACCTGACATAGAACTATTTCTCAATCTCATGCTTTATATACTATCATATGTTGTATTTTTCTTTCGTTTCAGTATAGCCCTTCCATTTTCAACACGGATTACAGCTTCATTAAAGTGGAAGTTTCTCTTGGCGTCCCTCGCAAATCATTTGGATTTCTTCTAATGTAAATCTTAGCTATCTGACGTAGGGATAGGTGCCTCGGGGAAGTGGTCCTCTGAGAATCAGGGGTATTATAGTCAATTGAATTGCTTATCATGCCTCCGATCAAACTGTTCTGTGAGGTATGTCACATCCTGTTATTTCGACTACGTGATGCTTTACATTGAATGAAATAGCATTGGAAGATGAAGAATGCAATGATAATTTGTGGAGTAGATCAGATGATGAACTTTTTTAAATTTTGTACATGTGATTGCATTATTTGATGGAACATGCTTGATTATATGCCATGTTTGGTGGGTATAAGTGGATAGTACTTAAGAGTTCGTTGGCAGGCTTTGAAAAGCCAAAAGCTCATTTTGAGATTAAGAAGTTGCTTTTAAGCATATTTTGATAATTTTCTGGAACTGCTATTTTTGGTTAGAAGAAATTTTAGAGAAAGTTGATTTAAGATAACTTCCTGAAGAAACTTTTCTACAAGAAGGATAAACAAATGCAAAAGGCCCGCCAAATGGACCCTTAGTACCCAATATTGCATACTAAGCCCTTGTTTGATCCACATTATTTTTTTCATTCTCATTCTTTTACTCATTTTCAACCACATATTCTTCAATAAAATAATATTTTCCATCACATCAATAACTTTTCCTTCATTTTCAACCACATATTTCCCATCACATCATTTCAAAAAAATGCATTATCTCATTTTAATGTGCACCAAAC